TCCCATTAATATATTTGAAAGAACTTTTTATTGTTCCCCACATTTCTGGCAGCTTCAATTCCAACTGAGCTTTGGCCACACAGATTTTCTCCCTACAGTGTTGAGCAGCATCTCTGTATTCTTCCTATGTTACCTGACCTTTCCACTGGGCACACACCTTCCTTTTTTCCTTATATCCAAGGGGAAATCCCTGTTCAGCCACATCAATCTTCTACCCTGCCTGCTTGACTGCCAGCATTTAGGAATTGCTTCTCCTGTGCCTTAGAAGATGATGCAGTGACAGGCTCCAGCACCTGCAGACACATTTTTCCAGGGTGCTCATTTGTTCCTGAACAGCCTGAGGTCTGCTCTCATGGCCAGAGCTGAAGTTTTGCTGGCACTTTACCTCCTGTCAGCAGAGATTTAAACTTGATTGCTCTGTGGTCTCTGTGGCTAGATGACCAGTCTCCATTTTGCTCACGAGATCTCTCTGTTGAGAAGCAGCAGATCTCAGAGAGCATCTTTCCTTTGAAGTGTCCCTTGGTTCCTCACATAATAACTCTTCACTGTCCTGGGCCTGGCTGGGTGGTCTGTAGTAGACTCGCACAGTGGCATCTGCATTATTTGTTTGCCCCTTTATTCTCACCCACTCTCAACTGTGCCGTTGCCAGCTGTGAGCTCCAGACATTCCAGCCCTTCCATTACAGCCAATGCCACCCCACACCTCTCCTGCCCTGGTTACCCTTCTGAAGGAGCTTTTAATCATCCAGTGGGGCACTCCTATAACAGAGTTGTCTCATCCTGCCAGGTTTCACTTATACCAGTGCTGTCAAATCTCTGGCAGTGGGCCAAAGCTTCCAGCTCTTCTTGTTTGTTGCTCATGCTGTGTATGCATTAGTGTGGAAACGTTTCAGGTGTGGTACATTGTAGCAGGATTGAGGGATCCTATCAGTGCTCCTTTCCTCAAGCTTTGGTGCTCCATCCCGTTGCTCTTCACTGGTGAGCCTGATTTTGTCCCTTTCCCTCTTAAAGGTAAATCCCATCAGGTGTCAGTAGGCCAGGTGTTGAATAGATCATCCCATAGTCAAATAACCCAATTTTTTCCAGTTGCATCAGCCTTGGGCACATGCATTGATGTGACGGATCTTTTTATTCCTGTCAGTATTATTCCCTGTTACCAGAAGGACCAAGGAAATCACTACCTGTGCTCCTGATCCTGTGTCCAGTTGTCTCAAGGCTTTGAAATCTCTTTTGATTTCCCTCGGACTTCTCTTTATTACTTTGTCACTGCCAGCCTGAAAAACCAATAGCAGATAGTAACCAGAAGGCCTTAACAGGCTGGAGAGTTTTCCAGTAGTGTCCCTTACCCAAGCCCCTGGGAGACTGCAGACTTCGCTGTGAGTTGGGTCCTATCTGCAAATCAGGCCCTCCATTCTCCTCAGAAGGGAGAGTAGTCTCTTATTAAACTTCCCTTCTTTTCCTCTTAACACAGGAGATTCTGATGCCGGGTACAGGTGGTGTTGCTTTAGGAGGCCCCTCTGTCCCAGAAGCACCTTCACCCACCTTATCAGTTGTCTGGCCGCCGAGTTCCAGGGTCTCTTACTTGTTGTAGAAGGTACCTGCCCTACTTGTCAGGATTTCAGAAGGAACTTCCCTCCTGGTAGCTGAAATTACTCTCTTCCAGCCTTCAACTTCAACAGACCCTTGACCTTACAGGGTTTTGAGTGTCCACAACAACAAAGGTTCAAGTCTCTGAGAATCTGGAGACTGGAGTGTCTCTGAAAATAACTGGTCAAAGTTGGGATTCTTGTATTTAGTGTCTCTTTAGGATTTGAGTGTTCTTTACTCATTTTTTCTATGCTGTGCGGATCTTCAGGGCCATGCTGAGGATCCCGTCTGAGCAGGGACAGCACAAAGCCCTGTGCTTCCCTCGCCTGTCTGGTCTCCCTGTTATCAGCACTTCCATGTTTGTTTACCTGAAGCCCCCCTTCACCTCCTCCCCACTGTTACATCTGGTGGTGTCGGTTCTGTACTCAATGATGCCTGCAGCACTGAACCCCCTCATCTACAGCCTGAGGAACCAAGAGCTGAAGAAACTTAGGAGTGGATGCATTTGAGCAGCCACAGCCTGCCTGTTGTTCTCTGTCAGTGACTCCCAGTGCCTGTCATGACAGATAAGTCTGCCTTTCCTTATTTACATGTTGCATATTTTTCTTCTCCACTTGTGATGTTGTTGACTTTAAAAAGAAGTGTCATTACTCATCCTTTCCTCCTTCAGCATCCACCAAGCTTGTGTGACCCAGAGACTTTGTGTAAATAGGGAGACTCACATTGTATTTAAATGAAATAAATTAACCTGCAGCATTTTTTTTAGTCTTGAGGTCCATCCTCAGCAGAGCAGGAATGAATGGGAAGTGAGAACAATTTTCTGGCTGCATCAGCCTTGGAGCGCGCCCTGGGCCTGGAGCAGGAGCAGCTCTTGAGGGCCCCAAGGCCGCGGCTCTTGTGCTGCCCTGGGCAGATGGGATGGCAGCAGGGGCTGCAGAGCTCTCAGCACCT